CCTTCATTCACCAACAAAACTACAAGTGTACGAAAGTCGAGACTCGATCCACAGAGAGAGAAGCCATGGCGGAAGCTTGCGGAGTGAGGAAGATGAAGCTGGGAAGCCAAGGCTTTCAAGTATCGGCGCAAGGCCTTGGTTGCATGGGGATTTCCGCTTTCTACGGTCCTTCCAAACCGGAAAATGACGCAATCGCTCTTCTCCGTCACGCTATTCGCTCCGGTGTAACTTTCCTCGACACCTCCGACGTCTACGGTCCTGAGACCAACGAGATTCTCATCGGAAATGTACGAGTTTCGAAATTCCCAATTCTGCGATTTGATCATGCGATTTCGAGATACTTTAGATGATTTGATTTTTGAACGATCGTCAATTAAAATCATTTGTAGAAATGATTTTGAATTTGCCAATTTGGTTAGGCTCTAAAGGATGATGGAATTAGGGAGATAGTGGAACTTGCGACCAAATTTGGAGGTAAGAGGAGATCGTGCCTATGTTCGGACTGCTTGTGAGGCGAGTTTAAAGCGGCTTGATGTTGCCTGTATTGATCTCTATTATCAGCATCGGGTCTGTCCCTATCGAAATCACTGTAAGCCTCCTCTTCCAATTCCTCCGTCATGACATAGTCTCCAAGTTAGTTTGTCCTTGGCTCGGGATATGATTCAACTAAAGTAAACAGATTAGAGACAATGATTTTTAGCTTGTGTCCCCTTTTTCCTCTGTTTGTGATATTGCCATTCTTGTCCAATTATACTCATTATGGAGTACCTTTTTGCTGAATTCGACAATTTCTTTTGTCTGTCAATTCCAAGATGGGAGAACTCAAGAAGTTAGTTGAGGAGGGTAAGATAAAGTACATTGGTTTATCTGAAGCCTCTGCCTCGACTATCAGAAGAGCGCATGCAGTTCACCCGATAACCGCTGTTCAGCTAGGATGGTCCTTGTGGACGAGAGACGTGGAAGAAAAAATCGTCCCGACCTGCAGGTATCCAGATTTCATCCTCCTTTCTTTGTGCAGTTTTTATCAATCATGCAACTTCATCTTCTCTTCCTTTCTATAGGGAGCTAGGGATTGTTGCTTACAGTTCTCTAGGGCGAGGTTTCTTTGCATCAGGACCGAAACTTGTTGAGAAGCTTGACAATGATGACTTCAGAAAGGCACCTACTGTTACTTGCATTCAAACACTTGATCGATGAACCATCAAATGACTTTTTATATATGCTCAATTCTGTTTCTTTATTGCAGACTCTACCAAGATTCCAACAGGAGAACTTAGACCACAACAAGATTCTTTACGAGAAGGTTAGTGCAATGTCGGAGAAGAAAGGATGCACTCCTGCACAACTAGCCCTCGCATGGGTTCACCACCAGGGAGATGATGTTTGCCCCATCCCAGGAACTACTAAGATCGAAAACCTCAACCAAAATATTGGAGCTTTGTCTGTGAAACTCACTCCCGAAGAGATGTCTGAGCTCGAGTCCATTGGCCAACCATAGTCTGTGAAAGGAGAAAGATACACAGCCATGGTGCCCACTTTCAAGAACTCCGACACTCCACCATTGTCTTCTTGGAAAGCCGCTTAAAACCGGTTGAGAGTTTCTGTGGTTATGGTGGTACTACATGGCATTGAAGTCATGTCAGCCCAATACGAGGTAATAATATGTAGAGGTTGTTGTGTTTCATCTTTCAGAGTTGGACTTATGCATAGGGGGCTTCAACTATCTCACAGAATTTATGCTCTCAAGTCTGAAGAATAAATAAAATATGGATATGGTTCGAGAGTTTCACCAACTTATCTATAAGACTTTGAGATATTTGAACTTTATCAAGATCACATTTTTACTAATTCAAAGATACAATCATACATCTATGATTTGTTATATAGTTTTATAAAATTAATTAAATCTCTTAGGTTTCAATCTAATTCATAGTTAATTTTATAAAATGTATTTCAAACAACTAATAGTGCTAGCTTGCCTAACTTCGTTATATCTGTAAAATGGGATAACGACAAGAATTTTTTTTTGGATTTTGTCACCAGAAATTGAAAAAAAGACAACGGTGATGTTTTAATCTGGTTTTTTTCAATTCTGCTTCATGAGTTTAACGGTCATTAACATCAACTTAACAGTTGACTTTTTTGAGCATTGATTGTTCAAGTTAATGAATACGTGAGGAATGAAATGAAAACTGGGATAGTTAAGTAGTTGAAGAATAAAAACACCACATTACCATGTCCATTGGTAAAAACTTTTTTAAGGGTTCTTAATAATTTTTTAATATTAAATTTAACATCAATTTAAATTAAGAATCCCATTTCATTTTGAAAAAAAAAAATCTCCATTGGTTAGAATTCTTAAAAGGTTCTTAAGAATTAAAATGTAATATAGTTTTATATGCATACAAAGGTGCATTGTAACTGAATATCATGTTGGCATAGTTGGCCATCAAACCCCCTAACTAAGCTTCTTAACCCGGGTTCAAAGCCACATGATTTGTTTTTGGCTATTTTTGGTTTTTTGGTTTTAATGAAACGCGAAATTACATTTTTGCCCTCGTCTTCAACCTTTCATGGACGAGGATGGACATAAGTACTTTGACGTTTGTAACTGCACTGCTTGTACAGATGCATACTTAGACTATGAATCAGACGAAGATATTCGTAGACGACGACGTAAAAAGAAGGATCCTCTCTATCAACGATATCTCGATGGCGATCCCACTGTTGGTCCTCTAGGAGAAGGATACGACTTTATAGTCCAGTATTCYGACAGAAAGGAGGAACCTGCACAACAAGTCATGATGATGGARGCAAACGACTTTCCTCCTCCAGAGGATTTCGTCAAAAACAACATCGCTCATAGCCCAAAGATTATCTCTAAATCGATCAACTCGACGGGTCCGGATCTATTAAGCCAAGCAGAAAAAGTCCTCAACTGGCAAACAGAAAATTCTCTTGCTCAAAATCAATTTCTGTCAACGATAAATCACAAAGTTGAGCAAATCGCGGACGGCTACAGTAAACGGCTACAAAGTCTTCAMAGTTCCATAGCGGAAATACACAGCCGACTCCATAATCTCCATCAAGAAATGATGACCATGGCAAAACACATGATGGTAGGAACAACCCAATTCCGCAACAAAGAAGAAAAGACAGCTAGTCTAAAAAACCAACTCAAGGATCTTCAAAGATGCCTTGAAAGTATGATCCACAATCGGCACCAAGAAGATACATACTTTAATCCTTATGGAAGCATGTCATCAGGGATGCCTATGTACCAAGGATCCTATTCTCCTGGATTCCTCTCTGGCTATCAAACTCAAACGCCAAGACCCCCTGCACCGGGTTTCCTATCCTCCGACGAGGCTTTCACATCTCGTTATGGCTCGACTTCAATTGACAATCCACGTCCTAAAACAACACGAGCAAAACCACGAAGGCAGAAGGAATCAAAATTCCAGGTCAACTCATCTAAACGGCCAACTCTCACGTCATCCTCAAGTCATGAGTCTGTCAAAGACAAGAAGGAAAAAGGGAAGGACATCGGAATAATCGAATTTCCGATGACCAGCTTGCTTGATACGCTCGGCAAAAACTCAGATGAAGCTATTCAGACACCCGCAACTCCCATAGATCGGAGACCCTCATCCTCAAGACCGATGACAAAAATAAATCATTTTTCTGACTCACGCTCGGATTCAGAGGACGAATCTTTACCAAAACAATTTGCTATAGGAGATTGTCCTACTACTCCAAAGGAAGAGCCTAACATCAACAAAGTCTATTCAACCGATGAAGACATGAATTACACGCTCCCAAATCAAGAAGAAATACCAGCYAAGCAATTCGCCTCAAAGATCATGGTATTCACCTTTGACGATGTTCCTTTTGAAAAATGGAATGATCGTCTTGATGAATTTCATGCATGGATGAATTCGGAGTCCATTACATCACCGTTACCTCTAGTGATGCAACAATTTACTGCAAGGCTATCAGGTGCGCTTAAAGAATGGTGGAATTCGCTCGGCGGATACAGACAACAACAAGTTTATCAGACAACGATACCAGTGCTCCTCGGAAAAATCCACAGGGAATTCATTGGCACGCCGACACATCTCAAAGAACAGCTGCAAGAAGAATTCTTTACAGCAAAATGTTGTTCGATGAAAAAYRGAGATCTTGCAAAACACTTTGAACGACAGACTCGGAGATACTATATTCTTAATGGTCTCAACAACCCAAGTCTGAAGCAGGTGTATCTCTCCTCCATAGATGATTATCTGAGCCAACAGACTAAGCTCTACATCAGAGATCAACACCAGACAATCGAAGAAATCTCGATTGGCCAGATTCAACAATATGTCTTCAGAATTCTTGACAAACTATGCAAGCAAACAGAGTTTTGGATGGAATTCATGGACAAATCCAAACAGCTATCCAAAATATGTGCTCGTCCAGATCTATCCATCAAATGTTCAAAATCCAACAAATCGTGCACATGCATTGCAAGCAGAAAAGGTCGAAGGTTCAAGAAACCATTTAAACTTCGACGTCGACGATTCTTCAAAAAGAAAAGAAGCCTCCGCAAAACGACGAAATGCTTCCTATGCCACAAAGAAGGGCATTTCGCAAAAAATTGTCCAAATAAATCTGCCAAGAAAAAGCAGTATCTAATCAATTCGATATCGACCATCGCACCAGATATCGATATCAACAGCCATGATCTAGAGTCCGTTTTATCCTATGATAGCGACGACAACGACGCCATTTGTGGTTACTCGGAATATGACGACTCTTCCGAAACATCATCCGAAGAAGAAAATGATTGATGTTTCAAGATCACCAAGATACCGCGACAAGAAGAAATACAAGCACCTCATTTACCGGTGACAATCTTCGACCCAGCATGCAAAGAAGATTCAGTTCATGTCATCGCATTTATTGACACCGGAGCCCATACAACGATAATGAATCCCAAAATCCTCCCATCCTCTATGTGGCTTCCATATCAACAAGAGTTTCGAGTTGCAAACGCCGYCTCGTTGACCATCAAGCTCAAGTCAAAACCAATAACCATCGAACTTTTCCCAGGTTGCCAGATTACTACTYACGTCCTCGGATCCACGGCGCCCGGGAAAGATCTGATTCTAGGATGGAATTCATACTCGCTATTGAAGGCAAACTTCGATATTTCTATCGAACCACGAGGAATACGATGGAAAGCTCTTTACAAAGCCTTCACAACGATACCACGACTATTCACAATTGAAAGATTTGTGTTTGACGAGTTCAACAAAATCAAAAAGGAAATGACGGCAGAGTCATGTGCTGATTCGCATACATACTTCCTTACAAAATGCACCAATCCACTTTGGCTCAACAAGGAGTTCTTTGTTTCATTGCCATTCAAAGCAGACATTCACACGACTCCAACAAAGGTGAGTCATGCAGGAATGCCACCTACTCTGTTGCTCCAGGCAAATGAAGAGTGTGATCAACTAGTAAATCAGGGAATTGTTTCAACAACTAATTCCCCATGGGCATGCAAAGCATTCTATGTCAATAACCGGGCCGAACAGGCAAAAGAAAAGCTCAGACTGGTTATTGACTACAAGCCCCTCAATCAATATCTACAGGATGTCAAATTCCCATTGCCAAACAAAAGGGCGCTTCTCCAACATCTTCAAGGAGCAACYATATTTTCGAAGTTCGACCTCAAATCTGGGTTCTGGCAGCTTGGTGTTCATCCCGAWGAAAGYTACAAAACTGCATTCTGRCTACCAAATCGRCACCTTCAATGGAACGTTTTACCTTTCGGCCTCAAAACAGCGCCATCACTGTTCCAGCAAGCAATGCTCCGAATATTCAAACCTATCCTCCATACGTCTTTAATATACATCGACGACATCCTTCTATTCTCGGCCGATGAAAAGGAACACATTCAGCTGCTTCAGCAGTTTCAAGACATCATCAGAGAATATGGAATTATGCTGAAACTGCTGAGAGTCAAATTCCCATTGCCAAACAAAAGGGCGCTTCTCCAACATCTTCAAYGAGCAACAATATTTTCGAAGTTCGACCTCAAATCTGGGTTCTGGCAGCTTGGTGTTCATCCCGAAGAAAGGTACAAAACTGCATTCTGCCTACCAAATCGTCACCTTCAATGGAACGTTTTACCTTTCGGCCTCAAAACAGCGCCATCACTGTTCCAYCAAGCAATGCTCCGAATATTCAAACCTATCCTCCATACGTCTTTAATATACATCGACGACATCCTTCTATTCTCGGCCGATGAAAAGGAACATATTCAGCTGCTTCAGCAGTTTCAAGACATCATCAGAGAATATGAAATTATGCTCTCAGCCAGAATGGCAATGAAACAAAGAACTCCTTGTTGAGCCAAAGTGGATTGGTGCATTTTGTAAGGAAGTCTGTATGCTAATCAGCACATGACTCTGCCGTCATTTCCTTTTTGATTTTGTTGAACTCGTCAAA